ACCGTCAGTTCCATAACTAACTCTACTCTAAAACATATTTGGAACTAATCACTGTAATCTTATTTACTATTTATTTACCTTTTCATGCTTGGGATCAGGTTTCTGGTTCCTTCTAGATTTGATCCCAGTTCTGTAATTCCATCCTTATTTCCTGTTTAGAATTAGGTCTTTGATTTCTTCTAAAGTCTACTTCCATACTATACTTTTTTTCCTTTCCCTCTTTCCCAATACAAGTAGATAAGTTCACCTATCGTCCAGTTCACACCACCTCCCCAGCCTTTTGAACAGGAGTAGAAGTCTATCCCTTGTTTCCTGTCTAGGATTGGGTTTCCAGTTCCTTCAACCCTATACTCCTAATGTCTGCACTTAATTAGTGAATAAAATAAAATTTCAGAGTTTTTTTTTTCCTCCTTCACCAATAGGAGTGCACAGGTTCATCTATCAACTGGTTTACACTTCTCCCCAGTTTTTTGAACAGTATAGTTTGATCACTTGTTTCCTGTTTAGGAATGGGTTTCCGGTTCCTTTTAAAGTCTACTTCTACATTGTACTTCTAATGACTGACGGAACTCTGAAATATCATTCACTAATACACTGTTCCTAAATATTTAATAAATAGAGTACTTTTACAAAATTTTTCTGTCCCTTAATACTCTGCTTAGCTTTAGAAATGCATCTTTGACCATCCCAATATATTGGATTTTAATTTTTCCAGGCAGGTCACACTCCCACTAACACAAATCCAACTCGATAGTGTCAAATAGAATATTCTAGCTATATTTCTTTAAATTTGGTCAAAAGATTCCATCATGGATACTAAAATCAAACAAGTACAAAACTTTAAATATCTGGAAATGTTCCGACACAGGACAGAAAGTGCGACATTGAAATCCAAAGACATATTGGGATGGCCAAAGATGCATCTCTAAAGCTAAGCAGAGTATTAAGAGACAAAAAAATGTTGTTAGAAACAAAGAGTATTAAACTGTTAAATGATATCTATCCTTCTGTATGGCAGTGAATGCTGGACAATCTCCTCAAAGATGAACAAAAAACTTGAAACAAGAGAAATGTGGTTCTACAGAAAGATGATGAGGATACCATGGACTGAACACGTAAGCAATGACAGGGTTTTAGAGAAAATGGAGACAAAAAGGAAATTTATACTTAATGTCTGGAAGTGGCAGTTGAAATTTCTGGGGCATGTAATGAGGAAGGAGGGCTTGGAAAACTTGATACTCACAGGACAGATTGAGGAAAAGTGGGACAGGGATAAATAGCATGTAACATACTTGATGATCTTGAGCAAATGCATGGTAGAATAGGTTTTGGGAAAAATAAAAATAAGATAAAACTTATTAAGAGCTATAAAGGAACAGGAAAATGTGGTGGGCCATGATCACCTACATCCTGAATGGAAATGGCACATAAAAGAAGTCCCACGTGGATTTTTTTCTAATAAAGAATAATTGTTCTGGCTGATGTATTTGAAATTCAAAAGTTATGAGATAAGAATTAAAAGACAGAAGTTATTTTCTCTAAATCCAATATTTGGCTATCTAGACCACATGGAATTTCAATAGGTGTTGACAGCTAAGATTATCCATTATCTTATGCCCCTATTCTTAATCTTCCTTATCCCTTGCAATCTACATCCCCCTTCTATTTTTTTAATACAATATATCATACAAACATAGATTAATTTAATCTGGAAAAAATGAATGCATAAATGCTTTCTATTTCATTTGCTCTCTTATCTTTCTTTTGCTTTAACTCCATAAAAAATTATATAACAATTTTTATGCTTTTTTCATCCCTGCCTAGCTTTTAATCTTTTGTTCATTGTCATGATATCCTACCAGTAAGCCTTTCTCTTGATGTTTTTTTTCATCTTTATCCTTCCTATCTCTCTCTCTCGCTGCATATATATATATTTACCTTTCACTTTTTTTGTTACTATTAGTTCACTCGATACCAAGGCTTAAGGGCCACTCAAGGTAGAAGGTGAAAGAGTGAGATTATAGAGTGAAAGTATTATGAAGACAAGCAGGACATATATCCATTGACCCTGGACTTAAAGGGACCAAGATTGTAGTTGTAAGGGAAACATTCTCTTAAGAGTTTGTTCCACAAAGTAACAGTTCTGTGGAAGAAGCTGTCTGAGTGGAACTAGCTTTTTATCAAAAGAAACATAAAGGGAGCAGAGATGTTAGAGTTGTTTTCTTAAACAGAGATAAAGAGAAGATAATTTACCACTGTGAACTTAACTGTGAAGGTCGGTGCTGGTGGAACTAAGTAATGTAGCTTGTCCAAACATCTGCCATACTAATAATGATATAGTATTGAAAGGGTTGCAGGGTGGAGAATAATTCATCACCCACAATGTGCACAAGGACTTTTAAAATCTGTCAAGGCTGGACAGTGAGGAACAGGCAACACCAGCCCAGATAGGGCAGTAATACTCCATTCTTGTTCTAATCTGACTCTTGTAAAGATAGTTCATGGCAGTAGGAGTTAGGTATTTTCCAGAGCAATACAGTGGCTTTCTTTCAGTTTTTTTCTAGCTTTCCTCTTTCATATTGTCTTATTTCTTTTCACTCTAGCTTTCTTACATCAACAAGAACAATAATTATATAGATAATATTCAAAGGAGGTTTGTTCACATTTCATTATCTTTGAATAAATTCTTAATTATTCTGTTTTAAGTACATTTTAAGTACCCCTCAGGTAAGATAGACTGGTTACATATCTCTATCAGACAAGCAATTTACTGGAGTAGATGTATTTTCTGCAGGTGAAAGATGAAAGCAACAAAAAAACAGAAATACTTATCTAAGTAAATTCCCAAACTATCATGTTGCTTCATCTCAGAACTTAATTGATTGTTGGAACTGAAGAAGTGGCTTTTAATGTTGGGTACAATACATCAGGGATAAGTTAATAAAGTAGAAGACTGCAAAATATTTATTTTGAATCTATAACCCAATTAGAACAGGAGGAACAGAAAGCATATACGAACAGTTGACAGTTGTTGTTGAAGATATCTGATAGTGATTACAATCACCTTACTCACTTAGAGTTGTTTTCTTAAACAGAGATAAAGAGAAGATAATTCGAAATGAATATTCCTGGGTATTGCTCTATCAATAATAATAATCATATGTAGTAAACTTATGCTGTCATTAATTCTTCTCTTAATTCCTGATGACTGAAAATATTTTTTTTTACGAATTTTACATGCATTTCCCTTGTAAAATAAACCATTAGTAATATATTTACTGTATATACTATTGTATGATGCGACTTTTGAAGACTTAATTTTGAAGCTAATTTTAAGGGTGTCACATCATACATATATATATATATATATATATATATATATATATATATATATATATATATATATATATATATATATATATATATATATATATATATATATATATATATATATATATATATATATATTAGTGTATGTACTCCTGGCCCTGGCTATGCTGTTGACCAAACTATATATCGATTTACAGTAGTAAAAAAGTACAGCTGTATTTAAAATAAACATGATTTTAATAAAACTGTTTTACTTAACTGTATCCAATAATAATGCATATTAGTATCATATTATAAAATATGTATCTTTTCCATTGTTTACGTTTACAAGATGTTTAGCTGTTTTTTGTTTGGTTGTTTATGACTGTACATGTTTACGCAACGACCATAGCGTTACTAACAATACTTTTACCATTCTCGTTTACTTTTTTAACTTATTTAACTAGAAGATGGGATAAAGAGCTAGAGGAAAAGAGATTAGTCAATTGTAATTTGGTCTCTCAAAAAAGGAACTCACATAACACATGAGATACCACATAAAATTTTTTATAAGTGAAAATATGGGAGTCACACAATATGCAAGATTGTGCATTACATGAGTATGTGTTGTATATTATACACAGTCATATTGCCATTTGTACTTTTCTTAATTCTTGGTTTTCAATATATATCTAATATGAAATTATTAGCAATGTATTTACATTAAATATTTGATCGATTCATTTTTATGGCTTATCAAGCCTTTGCAGGTTATTTAAATATTTTTAGAATTTAAGATATTTTCTTTGAGAAAAAATCTTACTTATTATAAAACACAGATTGTGTGTGTGTGTGTGTGTGTGTGTGTGTGTGTGTGTGTGTGTCTGTATGTTTATATATTGGATCGGATTCCTTACATTTTTCAACCGATTTCAACAAAACTTCACAGGACTATGTAAAATTACCTTGCGGTGGTTCTGACAGCACCAAAAATCGAAAAAACACAATTGTTTTTGCACGAAATCAATTTGAAAACATGATTAAGAGGCATTAATGAAAGGGGGACAACTCATATCGAGTTATACTTATTATAAAAGCCAGGTTGGTTGTTTGTGTGTGTGTGTTCATTTATATATGGGATCGGATTTCCTACATTTTTCAACCGATTTCAACAAAACTTCACTTTTTTTTTTGGCAGGTGGTGTTTCTTATTGTCTTGCACACTTTTTTCTTTATTTTTACATTCAGAATGCTTTAAAAATTCCATTTACAAGACAATTGTTTATAATAAAATTCTATTCAGTCGGTAGACTCATAACGATTGAAAACAATGTTTTTGTTTGAGTTTGGGTTTGACCAATTCATAAAAAAAAAAAAAACTAATTAAGACATGCGTGTCCATCAACCTTAAACAATAAACTTTGTCAATTTTATTTTTCAGTCTTTATGATGGTCGATACTTGATCTATCTCTTACTGTTACATCCCCGGGCAACACTGGGCTCTACTGCTAGTATTTAATGAAGCAAGTCTTAATAATCAACCCATAACTAGGGGGAGAAGAGGTGGAGTCATACCTTTCCCACAGGTATTTGCACAAAAGTGGATATAATGAACCCAATGAGAATTGAAACTCATCTCTCTGTTTAACAATTTGAAGACATTATTCATTACACCACCTACACAGCCAAGCTTACAGCAGCAGGTATTCCCAAGTGGTCACCTATACACGTACTGACCAGGCTCAACATTGCTTAACTTTGGCGATCATATGAGAACTGGCATTTCAATGTGATATGGCTGTAAGCCTAAATATTTGATAGTCCTATACTGTCAGTAAATTTAATTTTAAGTGAATTTAAATGCAGTACTAGATTGGCAGCAAGGTCTTATCATTTTACAGTTGGGATGGCTAGATGTAATCATGAGTTCTATGCTAACAGTTTCCTCTCTGTTATGGTCTGGTTCCTTGTACCACGGTGATAGTCCAAGATAGAACCAATAAAGAAGAACTTGGATATGGAATAACACAGATATATTACAAACAGGAATATATACAGAGAAGAAAGTGTTAGTACAAACAATCAGGTTTAGTAGTAATTGTCTGAACACGACTCTGTTTCGGACTGCCTCTGACTCACTCTGACTGACAGACTCCTGACGGACTTCACTCCAGACTTCAGGCTGAACTCCCTGCTTCCTCTTGAGGCACAGTATTTATTACGTATGGAATAGTTCATTATGTTATTATGGGTAAGGTGCCATAACACTCTCTTATACGTCTTGCTTGCATAACTTTGTTCTGGATTCTTGCTTTTCAGTCAACTTTAATCTTCAATAATGTAAATTCAATGTCAATTGTTATCTTGTGTCTTCTAAATTCCTGTTCATTTAAAACCATTATACTTTGTAAGTTGTCATTCTAGTTATTTTAATAACCCCCCCGAACAACATTACAAAAACTAACAATCCCTTGTTTTTTCTGATTTTCAATACAAATTGAAAATAGAAATAAAATGTTGAAATAGAAATAAATGAAAATGGTAAAATAGAAATAAATATTGAACTTTGGTAAATTTGGCACTTAATCAACATTTTATAAAAAAAAACAAAAAACATGTTGTTTGCTCATAAATAATATGCAGGAGTAAAGTTGGGACAGTTGTAAAGTTAGTGGTTAGTGAATAGAAAAGCTGAAAACTTCATTCCCATTTTAAAAAAGAAATCTCACTATGTTTTGATTTATCAGGTACATGACTTCTTGATGTTATCAGGCTGGAGAGATGATCCCAGCATGCTGCACCTTTGGAAAGTGCTTGAAAGCAATACCATGGGTTGATCCAAGCTATACAAGTAAAATTGGGTAGATGGAACTGTTCTGAGGCTGTCGATGGTTGTGCTAGCATCAAGTCACAAGTCATCATGACTGAGAATGTAAGTGTACTGGCCTTGTTCAAACTATAGATGATGCACTCTCTTCTATAAACTTTAACTAAGGTTCACTCATTATAGTTAGTGTATACACTTCAGGTAGGCTTTGTGGGTGTTAAACAACTGAAACTGAGTGAGCATCTGCAATAGGAATTACCTAGCCACCTTAGTAGATGGCCTTTTATTTTATATATATATATATATATATATATATATATATATATATATTTATTAAAAAGACATATTTTATGTTTAACGTTGTTATTTTTATAGATACAAGTATTTAAGCAAATGCTCTGTTTATGATAAACAGTATTAAATAACATTTACCGGCCTGAATGTCCGAGAAATGTTATTTAATACTGTTTATCATAAACAGAGCATTTGCTTAAATACTTGTATCTATAAAAATAACAACGTTAAACATAAAATATGTCTTTAATAAATAAATTGTCGGACCTTGTCCATTTCTTAATATATATATATATATATATATATATATATATATATAAAGGTATGAATCCTCTTCCTCTCCCTCAGCTATGGGTAAAATAGCAGGACAGACTGGGTTGTATAGCCTTGGATGGCAACTGGTCTAGGAGAAGGTCAACTCTGAATTCAAAACCTGCGGATGGTCGTTTGGGAACCTTGTGGCACTCGGTGCACCAGGTCTCTGTATTCGTCCTTTCAAAAAGTGTGGATGGTCCTGCACGAAGCCTTCACCACTATAATCAAATCTCATGTGCCGGTGTCGGGCTGTCGATTTCCTGGAAACTGATCTGCTTGACCTTTATACGTCCAATCTCGACTATATATATATATGTGTGTGTGTGTGGAGAGAGCGTGAGAATGTGTAGCTAGGGGAATGAACACTGCATGATGACTGTTAGTTTTACATCCCAACTAATCTTCAGTTTCTTGAGAGGTCACAATTCCATGTTGATCTCCACTGCCTATATCTAAAAACTATTTCTTATATCAAACCCCCTTTGTCTATAAATATAGCAAATGTTCAGCTATATATATTTATTTATTGTGTAGATGTGTGGCTGGTGTAATGGTTAGTGACTTGGAAAGAAAAATTGATGAGCAAAGTTCAAATTCTCAAATTTTTTTACATTCACTTTTGTGTAAATACCTTTGAAACATGTATGAATCTAATTATGGATTAAGTAGCAAAACAGACTGGTCTCTCTCATATAGGACATAAATGAATGGAATTATCCGTTTATATGAATAAGTGAAGTTAAGCGGAGTTGAGGAGAGTTAGCATTAGGTCAGTCGCTAAGTGTACCTTGATGTTGTAAACCTTCTATTTCATTAATTACCTACATGTCTTCCTTATTTATTTCCCCCCAGTTATCTCAAAAACACGAGACACAACAGTCTCTAGCTGTGGCTGACAACTAGGCTAGAAGACAGATAACTCTGAATTCAAAACAGTATGTAACCTTGGCTAGACATATACTATACAGCCGCTAAAAAGATTATGGTGCTTGCAATTAACAGTAGCCTGTGGTTGTGGATTATGATCTCGAATGAGGTTGAATAAAGAAATATATATATATATATATATATACTCTTGACTCTCCTGTCAAATTCGACGTATGAGGGTCAAGCAGATCAGTTCCTAAGAAACCGACAGCATGACAACAGCACATGAGATTTGATTATAGTGGTGAAGGTTTTGTGCAGGATTATCCACACTTTTTGAAGGGCCAAATACAGAGGCCTGGTGCACTATGTGCCACAATGTCCCCAAATGACCCTCCACAGGTTTTGAATTCAGAGTTGTCCTTCTCCTAGACCAGTTGCCATCCAAGGCTATAGAATCCAATCTGTCCTGCTATTTACCCATAGCTGGAGGGAGAAGAAAGAGGATATACACCTTTCCCAAGGGTATTAGCACGTAAGTGAATGTAATGGATTCGACTGGAATTCGAACTCAGCTCTCCGACTCCTCAATCCAAACTGCTATCCATTACTCCACCATGTCTCAATATCTCCGACTATGAAACTCTAGAGTTGGGAAGCTAAAAATAATATCAATCAGCTAAGTGATAAATTTTATATTTGTATTAACCTTATATATTGTAGAGTAGTAGACTCATTGGCTTTTGTTTTAAAAATATAACTGATAAAATATAGAGATGCCTGATCCTGTGACAGGCTTTTAATAGAGATACATGGTAATTAAGATGAATGGTGGCTATGTAATGAATGATAGTGACCTGAACTGATTATTGAAAAAAATGAAGATTAGTTGTATGTTATAATGGAAAAAAGTAATGAAACTAATTACCATATTTGTTGCCTGCTATGACACAGTTTATGAGGATATGTGGAGGACTACGACTCTGTAAATAATCCAATTCCCTCAGCTCTATATTTCAAGCTTTGATATTTGTCTCTGCTGATAAATATCAGTGCTTTGGATGTAGCGTAATATTTATATAGCTTTTTATTTATTCTAATGTGTATTTTATATCCTATCAAATATGGCAGACAAAAAAAAAAGCAATGTTCATTTAAAGTTTAAATTGGTGACTAATTAAATTACAGAGGGAAAAATCCAAGTTTAATTTTAAAAATTGTTCTCTCTGTTAATCTCATTTGTTTTATTTTTGTTATCAAAACTATTAACTAGAGAATAAACCCCACATATAAGACAGGTAATAACCTGTTATATATATATATATATATATATATATATATATATATATATATATATATATACGTGTGTATATATAAATATAAAAGTGAACATAGAAGTCAATACTTAGAGGCGACAGTGCCTATGCTAGATGCAATCATCAGGCCATGATTGCATCTAGCCTGACGAATGCATCTAGCATGAAACAGACTGTCACCTCTAAGTGTTGACTTCTATGTTCACTTTTATATTTACACACACTATCTCTGATATTGAGCACTTTATCCTATAAATATAGCATATCTTAAGACTATATTTTTTGATATGTGTGTGTGTGTGTATATATATATATATATATATATATATATCTTACTTATTATAAAACGCAGATTGTGTGTGTGTGTGTGTGTGTGTGTGTGTCTGTAACGTTTATATATTGGATTGAATTTCCTACATTTTTCAACCGATTTCAACAAAACTTCACAGGACTACATAAAATTACCTTGTGGTGGTACTTACGGCGCCGAAAATGGGAAAAACACATTGTTTTTTAAACAAAATCAATTGGAAAACATGATTAAGACACATCGTGAGAATGAAAGGGGGACAACTCACCCACGAAAATGTAAACAAAAGAGCATAGCATGATGAAAAAGACGCCGAACTTGACGAAAACAAAATTTTATCGTCTAATGTTGATATTATTATTAAAGAGGAAAGATCAAAGTATTTTTTGGGGTATTTTTTTTACATTTTTAATCGTTCTTAGCACGTCTGAAATTTTCGTTAAAATATTGTTTTTTTTTTTGGTCAAAAAAAGGACAGATAATCAATCATTTTTTTCGATTTGATAAAATAGGGAAAGATAATTCCACGTACTTTAGTGCCGTTTTTCAATTCCTTTGCAATTTGTTACAAGGCAGATCAATAAGGCATTGGTTCTATTTGAAATTAATTCAATATTTAAAAGAAAGTATTAAGAAATAATTTAAAAAATGCCGACGTAAGAAATCTGATAGACAAAAAAACAACAATATTTCGAAGATGATAATTATTAAGGAAAGAACACAGTACTTGTAATAAATTAATAAACCCAAATAAAGTTAATATTTTTGTATTAGAAACAACGAGTGGAAAATATATTCAAATCAGAATTCTAATTATGAATCACCACAAGCAAAATATGCAATTTTTTTTACTGTATTCAATAAGTAAAAATCA